ATGGTTTGCAAAAATAATAACACGATTGCAACAAAAATCAGGATTCAAATTATAAATCCCCTTTCAACAAAAATCAGTCTCAATCTCAACCGTCACTTTGGGATTGTCACTTTCAATGATTTTCTTGGCTTCCGTTGCATCTTTCCCTAGCAATTCTGGCCATTGATACTTCTTTCCTACACATTCATAAGAAGAACAAATAAGGCAAATGGCACATGTTTACATATACGATACATAAATATTCCAATTCAAACAAGTCCTTGATCGAATGACAAAGACTAAAGGCATGCGCAAGAAAGACCGCAAGTTTAGACCTCAGGTTCACATTTGTTACACGTAATTCATCTTGCCTCTACGCCTCATTTAATTCAAACAAAAATATATAAATAAATAAATGATTAAGTAGTTTTTTTTTTTTTTTTTTTTTTTTTTTTTTTTTTTTTTTTTATATATAATGAAACAAATCACATCAAAAAGAGCAATTAAAGCCGTCCTTTATTTGAAAACCAACCAGCTAGACTAATAAAGGGAAGAGATTTTTAATCAAACAATCACCCTAATACTTTATTAAGGGTCAACATCGTCTAAAACTAACGATATTCAAGAAGACAAATAACATCATATAATTGAGAAAATAGATGGGATTAAAGGATGAGTATGCATGGATTATTTTTACGAAAAAAAAAAAAAAAAAAAAAAAAAAAAAAGATTTGTCACCTTGACTACAGCATGCAGAATCCTGACAACTTCTAGGATTGTCACAAGCCATTGTTGGAATAAAACCTCTTTGTTTTTCATCTTCACTTTAATTTGTGTATTTGTATATGTTTAGTTTATGTGATTTTACTGATTTATATAGGCATTATTTTGGAAGACTATAATAAGTACTTTAAACTGACCAATTATTTTCTTCAAAAAAAATAAAAAAAATAAATAAAAACTGATGACCAATTATTGTAGTCCTCTTAAATAAAAAAAGGATCAATACATTAATAGTGGAGATTTTATTTCCTTATATTATGATTATTATCGATCTCATTCTATTTCTATTAATTGTGTGTTCACTTGTAATATTTGACCATAGACTATCAATATGCATGTAAAGTGTGTTTTAAATTTCAAAAATTATAACATGTACACGATGTTTGTCATGCTTTACTTTCACTATTTCCTTGACATGCATGGTTAGATTGCTTTAATTTGAACATCATTTTAAAAGAGTAAGGGAAAAAAAAAAAACTAACGATATTTTAGATATTTTATGTGAACACTACATCCTCAGCTCTCTTATACAACCATAAGAATAATTGTGTAAGAAAAGAGGATCAATATATTTTTTAGATGTTATATATGGAATCATGAGTACAAAGAGGTTCAATAATCCCTTATCTTCCCCCCACTCTCCCAAATTATCTAGCCTGCTAACCCGAGTTGGGTTGATCCATGAAGGAGATCTGGCCCGATAGCGCCCTTCATCTTACCTACCAAAAAAAAAAAAAAATGGAATCATGAGTTAACTAAAAATAATACTCATAATATTTTTGAGTGTTTATACATGAAATGAGTGGTACAATGTTTACATAATACTTTTATATAAAGTTAAGGACTTTCCCGTCATTCACCTTATTTATACTAAATTTGTCCACCTTAAAAAAAAAACTCAATTTAATTTATTTTTGTTGATTTATTGTGGTAATTCCTCTTTGAAATTATTAATAATTTTCATTAAGTTAAACTTACTTAACCGTTTTAAGTGAGAGTAACTTTTACTAAACATGCACTTTTCAAGGTTGAGTGAATTGGGCCTTAGAGAGAGCAATATCGATACATATTCTTTTTCAAGGTCAATTTGAATTTTACACATTAATTCTTTAATTTGCACCATGTAGTACTTCATGCGAACCACAAATTCAGTGGTCACGAGTCAAGCAAATCGATGCATCTTGAACTTAACTTAATAAACTTCCCTTAAATCATCCTCAATCAAATTTTCATTCTTAGAAAAATTATCCATAATTTCGGATAAATTTCAACCAGTTTTTGAACTAAGAAATAAGAGTAGTCACATGAAAAAGAGATGCTTGTTGTCCCAACCTAAAGCAAGTATACAAAAGATGATACACCTTTTTGTAGTTCCTAAGGCAGTTTCCCAAAACTGTCAATTTTGGCCGTTAAGTAGGGATATATGAATGCTCATTTTGAACACCCTCAGCAACAATTCTGGCATTGATTATCAGGTTTGTCTACTTGACAATTTGACATTCATCTCGATCTCTCATCTTTAGTACATAAATGTGTCTTACTTCAATCCAGATTAACAAACTACACACTTTAAGAATGGGGGGAAGAGTAAGGGAATTTATATACTTAAAGTGTCCTTAGTAAGGATTGAACCTTCAACATTAAAGGTTTCATCTTGACCGCTAGGCCAACACTTAGTATATGAAGTAATATGTATTATTATTATTAGTCCCTATTATTACAAATGTACAATTCTTGTTCAATTAGTAATTGTTGATACTTACAACTATACGGAATCAAAGAAAGTAGTTTAGTGTTAACAACATAATACTTTCTTGATGTATAATCCATAATTCGAGTATAAATCATAAAACAATATTGATTTTTGAATAAATTTTTTAAATATTAAATAAATTCAATATGGAATTTGATTATTTGATACAAAAATTAAGGCAAAAAGAAAACCAATGAGAAGAAGACCTTAAAATTCATTGGGTCGCCCCACCTTTCATGTTCTTAACTAAACACAATTTAATGAGGAGTAATAAGATTTATAAGAGACTTATACTCTATAAAACGTGTTTTTAGAACCAAATACAATTCTTATTATCATTATAAAAAGTCACAAACACAAAGCCGTGTTAATTGCGTATTAACAAATACCCTTGTCTCCCTAATCTCACCATCCATACTCTCTTTCTCATATTTCTTCTCTAACAAGTATCTGAATCTCTCACAACAGTATAAATAAACAAAACAAAATTAAATAAAACCCACTTTTTCTTTTGACAAAGTACTCTTAATAATTTAGTTAAATTAATTAGGAATTTAATTATAATTACACTTTTTACCGCCAATTCAAAAAAATCTTGCCAATTTTCTTCTCTTCATTTTCTCTCTCCTCTCACGTAACGTCGCCAGGTTCGTCTTCCTTTTATTCCGGCTTTTGATTCTTTGCTTTTTATTTTTTAATTTTTTAAGTAGATTTGATCTGTTGTATTTTTCTACAGATCTGCTTGAATAATCTTGGATTTTATTTTAAAATTTCGAATCAGTCACAATGTTTTTGATTTTTTCATATGGCTTTTGTAATTTCGATGTGATTCTTTTTTTTTTTTTTTTTTTTTTTTTTTTTTTTTTGAGGAAAAGAAATTGCTGATTTTGCAATTTTGGTGGAAATTGCTCTATTAGGTTAAACCCTAGCTTTGTTAAATTAATCGAGAGAATAAATTTTTTTGAGCTGTTTTTGGAGGAAGTGAATATCTTGTTATTGTAGTTGTAAATTTGTAATTGCTAGATAAATTGCTAAATTAGGTTAGAAAGATGTAGGGATTCAATTTAATGAAAAATTTGGAAATATTAGGAATTTGCAGCTATTTGGTGTGAGATTAGTTATTAGCTGTTGAATTTGCATTATTAGCTGATCTGCACTTCGATGAATTATGAAGTTTGGGAATGTGAATTAAGGTGTTAGGAAGTAAATGATAATTTTCGGCCAATTAATCGTAAGCTAGTTTTGAATCTGAATTCCCAATTAGGGGTTTTATTAGCTCGTGATGAAGTGATATATGTTCGAAAATTTGCCATAGTTTACCATCGCCCTAAACTAATCTGATTAAGCTCTTGTCTAGTGAACCGGGAGGGGGGTACTTAGGTGATCAGACAGACGATGTTTACCTTGTTGCGTAGAGAATGTTCAGTTCAGACCCTTTGGAATTTTGCCATTGTATACCATCGCCCTAAACCAATCTGATTAAGCTATTGTCTAGTGAACCGGGAGGGGGGTACTTAGGTGATCAGACAGACGATGTTTTCCTTGTTGCGTAGAGTATGTTCAGTTCAGACCCTTTGGAATTTTGCCATTGTATACCATCGCCCTAAACCAATCTGATTAAGCTCTTGTATAGTGACCAGTGGGGGGGGGGGGAAGGTGATCAGACGGACGATGTTTTCCTTGCTGTTGCTTAGAGAATGTTCGGTTCAGACCTTTGAGGCCTTGATATGTATTGGGCAATTTAGAGCACCAGGTTTATGCTGTTGACATCAGAAAGATGTTAGTTAATTTATCCACTTTGGGTTCTTTGCTCCTACTTTATACTTTATGTTTGCGTTTCAAAGGCAATGTGTGAAGTATGATCCTCTAGGGATCTCTGACAAATGATCAACTTCTGAATCCTAAATGTCGAACGTGGGTTGTTCATAGACCTCTAGATGTGAGCTGTGCTGTTTGGGATGTGAATTATGAGATTGTTAGATGATATTATTCTCAATGTTCAGGTGGGAACTATAGTGCTAGCCCTGACTTCTTAATTTTGACCAAAAAATTTAGTAAGGTGTAATAGGAATCATAAACCATGCCCATATTATTGGTTCTATCTCTTTAATGATTATGTTAGCAATTTAGGAGGGAATATGATTTTTTTAGTCTCTGACTCTCTTCTATTATGGTAACTTCCTTCACTTATAAACTGGAGTTATTTTTTTGCCCATGTACATTGATCATTTTATCTATTTGAATATAAAATATTACAAGGTTGGCTTAGATTGTTAAGGTTTTTCTCTAATGATGATAGTTTGACTGTTGAAAATGTGTTATTTAGTGTTCCTTCAATTCCCATTGCAAGTTTTTAGTACATTATCATGCTTCTTATTTGTTATCTATGATTTTGCTCTCATCAGGTATTGTTGATCAACTGTCATGTGAGACTTTTGTACATACCATTTCTAAGCAAAGGTGATGTTTGCAAGTTCGGTACACAATGTTTGACTTAAGTTTCTCAATCTCAAGGCTATTGGCTATTTCAGATGCTTTTGGCCCTGTTGTATTGGGATGGTTGGTTACTGGATTATTTGGACTCTTGGCTGTTCTGTTCGCCCTCCTTAGGTGGCAGAAAAGAACATCTTTAAATTGGGTGAAAGCTGCTGCTAGAGCAAAGCAAAAAGCATGGAAAAAGCTGATTGTTCCAGTATCACATCATACATGGGCTGAAGATTATGGTTGTGGTGAACAGCTATCCACATGCTCTGTTTGCCTTACTTCTCTGTCATTCTCTCAAAACTTAGGTACAAAGATAGTGTTTCACACTCCTGTTCATCGCTGTGCTGTTTGTGGTGTAGCTGCTCATTTCTATTGTTCCCAGTTTGCCACAAAAGACTGTAAATGTTTTGCTCAAGCTGGTCAGAGCCACGTGCAACACCATTGGTCAGAAAGATGGTTCAAGATGGATGATAATCCTGAATCTTCGGCATTTTGCTTTTACTGTGATGAACCTTGTGGTGTTCCTTTGATTGATGCTTCTCCTACATGGCATTGCATGTGGTGTCAGCGTCTCATACATGTTGCTTGTCATGCCAAGATGTCAAAAGAATCAGGGGATGTCTGTGATTTAGGTCCTCATAGAGATATCATTCTTTCTCCTTTGTGTGTGAAAGGAATTGATGTAAGATCGGTGAGAAGCTTAAGCTCGATAAGAGAAGAAATGATAGCATCTACTGTTCGTGGAGAAATGCGGCGAAGGCGCAATCGGAACAAAAATGGAACAAGTCGCTCTATTAGTGGCAAGTTCGAGGATGTGCCAACTGCTGATTCTCCACTCCGTTATATGCTTAATGGTATAGCTACTTTGAAGAAATGCTACAGTGAGAAAAATTTGGACTTTTTGTCAAAAAATGGCAAAACATATGGCTCAAAAGGAAGTAATGTTGGATTAATCAAGAAGAAGGGTGGAACATTAACATACGGACAAACCAAGAAGTACAAGCTAGTGGACTTGCCAAATGATGTTATACCTATTTTAGTTTTTATAAATACCAGAAGTGGTGCACAGAATGGGCCTTCTCTCAGGAGGAGACTGAATATGCTCTTGAATCCTGCACAGGTAATTAATAGATCTTTCTAGCAATACGGCATCAGTTATCTTCCACACTTGCATAAGAACGTTTGTTCTCAGAATGATTGTTGTCATTATATACTTTTATGGTTTGACGGACTAATGACAAGATAGAGAAAAAGGAAAGTGGAGGGAAGCAAAAGTTGTTATGCTTTGGTGAAAAGTTGTTGCAAAAGTTGTAATTGACTAATTGGCTATATATTCTCATCAACTCATAGACCAATTCATGTTCGTTTAATATGGCTCATCAGCTTACCATTCATTTTCATGGCAGGTGTTTGAATTGAATTCTTCCCAGGGTCCTGAGGCTGGTTTGAAGCTGTTTAGCAATGTGCCAAATTTTAGAGTATTAGTATGTGGTGGAGATGGTACTGTTGCATGGATTCTTGATGCAATTGAAAAATTTAGCTTTGAGTCACCTCCACCTGTTTCCATTCTTCCGTTGGGCACAGGAAATGATCTCGCAAGAGTTCTACAATGGGGAGGGGGTTTCTCTAAAATTGAGGGACCTGGCTTAAGCAACATTTTACATGAAGTTAATCATGCAGCTGTTACAATGGTGGACCGCTGGAAAGTTGATATTAAAGAAGAAAACTTGAACAATGATTCAGATAATATGCGCTCGAAATATATGATGAACTATCTAGGTATGCAGAGCGTCATTGCTTTCTGTGGTTGTTCTTTAGCTGTTGTTTTGAACTCTAATTTATTGCTTGTAATTTTTTAGGTATTGGATGTGATGCCAAAGTTGCTTATGAATTTCACGTGAACCGGGAGGAAAACCCTGAGAAATACTATAGTCAGGTAGCTTACCTTCCCAATTTCTCGAACTTTTTTGTCATGTTTGCTCATCATGTGTGCAGCCGGTCTTTGTTAACTGTGAAGGTGGTCTTCTGGTTTACTGTTAAACTGTGTATTTCCTCCATTGGTTCATCCTGCTTGACAATTTTGGTTTTATATGCATTATCTTGTCATGCTAAATGATTAAATCATCTTCTTTGCAGTTTGTGAACAAATTGCGATATGCCAAGGAAGGTGCCAGGGATATGATGGATAGGGCTTGTGCAGACTTACCGTGGCAAGTTTGGCTTGAAGTAGATGGGAAGGATATCCCGATTCCTAAGGTATGTGGTGACATATAAACGTGTATGGGGCACATCGTACATTAGTGTTGGTAGTGCAGTTGTCTTATTTTCCTTTTAAATTTTTAGTGGATATATCTGTCTGAATTGTGATGCAACCACCTAATCTTATCAGGATGCTGAAGGTTTGATCGTTCTCAATATCAGTAGCTACATGGGTGGAGTAGATCTTTGGCAAAATGACTGTGAGCATGATGATCATTTCACTTGTCAATCATTGCATGATAAGATGCTAGAGGTTGTTTGCGTCTCTGGAGCATGGCACCTTGGAAAGTTGCAGGTAAATAAATGATTTTTCTCCCTGGTTCAATTGAAAATTCCTATAGATTAATCTGGATAAAGCAAAAAAAGAACAAGTTTGCTAAGTTGCTGCTGTGTCAATCTTAAGCTCTTGCTCTCCCCTTAAACAAAAGAATTAAAGGAACTTGCTGGCCTTTTTTCGGGTTTTTTTTTTTAATAAATAAACAAAAGAATTTTAGTCTCAAATTCATTTAGAAAAGCCAAAATTATTTTAAGTATGAAGAATCATTCTTAGAGATAAGCTGAGAGATGTTTCAAAAAAAAAAAAGATAAGCTGAGATAATTGAAATACATTTATTGTGCCCAAAGTGTGAGGGTGAGGAGAGATGGGTTTGTGTCAGTATATTATTTTGCCAAGATGACTTGAACCCAGTTCACTCTATTTTGCTTCCCATGTGATTTGAATACAGCTTGTGTATTAAATTCTTTTATTGCCTTATCCTTCTTTGCAGGTTGGTCTTTCTCAAGCCAGGAGGTTGGCCCAGGGTAGCATCATAAGAATACATATTTCCAGCGCTTTCCCAGTTCAAATAGATGGGGAACCATTTATCCTACAGCCTGGCTATCTAGAAATATCACACCATAAGCAGGTATGCTGTGATATATAGAAGTTTTATTTACTCTACCTCGATCCCTCTTTTTGCCTTGTTATTGGCTGAAATGGACATTTGACTCAGTGACACCTTGACTGTTTTAAGTTGATACATCTCAACCAGAGATCTTAGGCTATTGTCTTCCCAGAGATCTTAGTGATACCTTGACATTATTTAAGCTGATGCGTATTAACCAGAGAATGCTATTGTCTTCCCAGTCCATTATCTCATCCCTGCATAATGTTAAAAATTGTTTTTGTCTTTCTTTAGAACCTACATTATTTTCCATTGCTACAAGTTTTTGTGCCATCTATCTCCTCCATTATTATTAGCTTTGAATCTAACATATTTCTTTTTCTTACTTCTCCTAGTTGCATTATTATTGATCATCTTTTACATGGACTTTATCCTTGCATGCTTGCTTCCCTTCCACTGTTGTGAATTTATTGAAGAGCTTACCTCTTTAGCTGGCATTTCCTTGTATTGCTTTTGGCCTTTTGCTTTCCCTTTACATTGTATTTAACTTAAATGATTGATTGTTGCCGGCCTTCTTAGGCTGGATATATCCTTAGTCAAATCAGAATACTTGTATCATCCTTCCCCCCCCCCCCCAAATAATTAGATTCTTGATGAACCCTTTTTAGTTGTGCTTTGGTTATATGTCTAGGATGGAACTTTATAAAACTTTGCTTTGTTGGAGACATGTGCTAGTATTATACACTTGCATAATACAAATAATTTTATCAACTTATTGATGGCAAGGTATTGGTCTCCTATGGTGTTCAAGATTGTATGCCTTTACTTTTCTGCGATGAACTTTGAAGGTCATGAACCTTTACAAGTTCATACTTTCTAACTTACACTTGATTAAAATTGAGAAAGCCTCTAACATTCTGATAATTTTCATTTGTAGGTGTTTATGTTAAGGAAGTCGTCTGAAGAACCTAATGCCCATGCAGCTGCAGTGATGTCAGATGTTTTGTTGGATGCTGAGTGTAAAGGCATTATTAACTCCTCTCAGAAAAGAGTTCTAATTGAGCAGATAGCTCTTCGCCTTTCATAGTGAAAAGTTGGGCTTTCTTTTTTGTTTCCCCTTCTCATATCTCTTTATTAGCGCTAATTTTCCTGCTTAGTGCTAACGTTCAGTCATTAGGGAGTTAGGAAAGAAGAGTGGGGTTTGTCATCTTCTTTCTCTCTCTTTTTTTTGGTTCAATTACCCATCCTTGAGCTCTTTTCACTTGGCCTTGGTGCACATCCAAACTTGCTAGTTGACGAAAACTCCCGTGTTGTAGTCAAGTACATATGAAAGTATACAAAGGTACAGTTTTGCCTCAAATGGATATAGAGAATTAGAAATTTTGGTGTGTTTGAAGAGTAACCACGACGTATAGATTGAGATTTAAGTAGATAGTTCTAATTGTGTAAAGCATGTGATTTACATAGATAATTAATTCTTAGAACAGTTTGCAGATTGTAAAGACATGTATCCTCAAATGTAACCGAATGAATTATCTCATGTTGCTGTAATTTTCCCTGTTTTCTCAACATTTGTCTCATTTTCCATACTTTTTCACCAGCTCGTAAGTCTTGACCAATACTCCCTTTGTTTCATTTAATTTGTCATATGGGGCAATTTCATTAGGACGGAGAGAGTATTTGAAATTGAATAATAATCAATCCAATTACTCATGTAAAAAAAGATTAAACATATGTTTACCTTTGTGATTCAATTTTTATGAGACAGATTTTCATTTCTTTTAAATTGGTGGGTGTGATGGATTGAGCTCTATGATCTTTAAAAAGTAAAAAGATCAACATTAATCAATCAACTTGAAAGAAAATTGACATACAGGTGATTATGTCATTAATTTATTCATGCATCAATATGGAGTAATGCTTACAATTGATTAAAATTAATTAGAAAATTAAAGCTTTAAATTTTTTCTAATAATATATGGAGTAATAAACATAATTTTCTACTTCATCCATCTCATGAATCTTGTCATTTCACTGCATCTTTGATCATTATACTCTATATATTTGACTCTTTATACATAGTAAAATATATGAATACTTAATATTACTAAAATTCGAGTACGGAGTACTCTGTATGTTTGAAGAATTTCATGAAACAGAGAGAGTAATGCACATTTCTTGTTCGTATTCTTTATTGTTAGAGAATCTGAGAATGTATTTAATTTTCGCTTTTGTACTCTTTATCCCAAAATAACTACAACATTGAACAACGTTTAATGTTAGTCGTATATCTTACAAGTAAATTCTTAGTTACATATACCGATCTACGGTTTAAGTTTAAGCTTGACTTTATACTACCAAATATGCTAACTAATTTGGGACAGACGGAGTACATTGATACACCATATGTATTATAGATTTCAGTGCAACATAGCTAGATTTTGTAACCTCAATGAATCGTGAAGACTAAAGACAGACATGCCTAGACCAGACCAATGCTCGCACGGGTTGTCGCAGAAACAAATGGTCACAAGAGGACGACGATAGATTAATACAACTAAGTTTTTATTCATCAATTGATTCTATCAAACCAAATTTGACTCTAGATTTTGAACGTATTATAATAAATTTCACCCCCTTTTTTTTTTGCCATCTAATCACTCAATTTGTCAGCTTTATTGGATTACGAGCACATTTAGACAAATAACTCTTTTGAATTTTGGGGTTACTTCTCACTAATCGCATCTTTTTCGATTTAAAACACATTTTACTACAGTAGCTACCTTAGCTTGCTGTTGACAGCTCTCGTAGTTTAGGTCACATTCATGCTTGTTTAGTGATTAATAAGGAGGATAAAATAAACTACTTGTATGAAAATATCGTTTATTAAATGTTCTTTAAAGTTTTAATTATATTAATATACACATAAGGAGAATAGTATAGACGTATTGTCACGTATACAAAATAAACAAAAGAGAATAAAAAAAAACTACTCCGTACTTAGTAGTCGATCAAATCAATTATGAAAAACCAAATTCTTCCTATATGTATGACGCGTTTAGTAGCCATGATGAAATCTCAACTTTGCACCCTAGCTAGTGTACGTATTCGGGAGTTTATCCCTTTTCACTTTCCTCTCATAGTTGTGTGTGACGAGCTTATAGGTCTTAAACTCTTAATATCGTGGACTAGGCTTGGAACTCCTATGTAGCTTGAGAAAAAAAGAATGAAATTCTCAAACTTGACGTACTTGAGGGGGAATTTCCAAAGTAGAGTAATTTGCTAGTGTCCTACACTCCTACATCAAATATAGTCTATTGCTATTTTGCTCTATTTATAATATTGTTTTTCGTGTACTGTATTCATGTATTGTTATTTGTTTAGATGTATTTCCCAAATCCAACCCAAAAATTAATTGTATTAAAAAGAGAGCAAAATTTTTTGATTAATTTTTGTAAGGAGACATTGTTTTAAACATTAGACAATAGATGTAACATACTAGTGAGCAATATAGAGGGATTTGATGGATTGAGTGATCATAGGCTTACAAAGGCTACTAACCAGACAAAACCCAACACATTACATATCTATTCGTATGCCTCAAGTTATCCAACAATACTGCTAACTTTTTTTGTCTCTCTTTCTTTGTATATTTCTATTTTCTTAATAACAATTTTGTGCATCACTAATTAGCTAAATTTAGCAAGTTTCATCTAGTGAACATAATCATGACTTCGTTGCCTAGGTAAGTTGAGGATTTATTTTGATAAATGCATGTCACATCCATAAGATAATACATTGTAAGTTCACAATTGTAATTATTAGTTGTTTGAATGCAATTAGAATTTTTGACTATTCTTATTCACCTAATATCTTATATATTTCATATTTCATGTTCATATAATCATCTCGGATTTTGTATATATATATATACTAGTATGTGCCCCGGGCGTTGCCCCGAATATCCAGTTTAGAGAGTGTACTTATTTATGGACATGTTTTGTATTATTATTATGATTACAAGTATGATAATAACAATAATAATTATTATTATTAGTAGTATTTATATTTTTTTTAAATGTTAGATACAAAAAGAGAGTATGTAGAAACACGGCCTATTATTCTTTTTTCACGTTTGTTATTTTTTTTTATTATTTTTTGTAAGTTGCACTATATTCACTTGGTTTACTACGACTTATGTTATCTATACATTGTAAATAATTACTTTTAGTGTCCCATTGAAATTTAGCACATATGTCGACATATTGTTTATCAAAGTTCTATGTCGACATATGTGCTAAATTTCAATGGGACACTAAAAGTAATTATTTTTTTAACACGTAAAATCAAAAGACTATATTATTGGCCTAATTGGACTATTTGTAATATATGGCTGGTAAATGGGCTACGGAGGCTTTGTAAAACCCGTAAAGTTCTAAGACCTTGCTAACATTTATCTGAATTCACTTCAAGATTCCCTTACTGTACAGTATTAGTAACCTAATTTTAGTAGCTTTTTACTTCTTTAATTTCATTAACAAAATCATAAACATACACAAAAATATTACAACTGAATATGAAAAATACCTGATTCAAAAGCTTTAATGGTAAATCAATGGTAGACTAAAAAAATTAATGATACATGACCATATTAATAATTATAATTACATGGTTATTTGTATAAGAGTAAATATCTATTGTTAATTGGATATTAATATTAATTATAATATGTGGTGTGTTGCTATAAATAAAATTCTATTGTTAATATAAAAGATAAATTTTTTTCAAAAGAATTATAAATTATTTTATGTACACTTTTTTAATCCTAAACAAATGTATCCAATCTAATCTAACGTGGCATCTAATCTAATCACAGAATTATCTATTTGCCGCCTACGTGGCTCGACACTTGGCGAAAAACTGGAATGTCAAGTGTCGCTGTCTCATGGCCTGACTGCGAGATCGACTTTATTTATTAGTGATATAATATGATATGATTAGCTTTGATGGTAAATCAATGGTAGGCTAAAAACAATTAATGATACATGATTATTTTTATAATTATAATTACGTGGTTTATTTGTATAGAGTAAAATTCTATTGTTAATTGGATGTTCATATTAATTATAAATGTGGTGTGTCGCTATAAATTAAATTCTATTGTCAATAAAAAGATAAATTTTTTTCTAAAGAATTATAAATTATTTTATGTATACTTTTTTATCCTAAACAAATCTATCCAATCTAATTTAATCTAATCACAATAATATCTATTTTGTCACCTACGTGGCTCGACACTTGGTGAAAAACTGGAATGTCAAATGTCGTTATCTCGTGGCCTGGCTGCGAGACCGACTTTATTTATTAGTGATATGATATGATATGATATACCACCTCAGATACATCTCTTAATCTCTTATTAGTCTATTATTATCGAAAATACGAGCTAATAGACCTCTTTCTAGCCAGCTACATTTTAGAGAAATTAGTTTTGATTATTCTATTTGTTATGCTCATATATAGTACAGTACTAAGAGAATTCGTGACTATACTTTTTGTTACGTATCATTAACTCATCTTTCAAAAATACATAGTATAAAGAACATGTTAATTGACAATTTTTAAAATGAATGATATGGAAACAAACATGTATGCTACATAATTATGGTTGAATATAGTCATGATTTTCCTTTTCTTCTGCTTATGTAGGAGATATATTGGGCATGCCTCGATCCTCCAACACAAGCTTTTGTAACTGATAATTATACTTCTTCTATATAAGAAAATCCACTGTTATACTTCTTCAGCTGCCAAAAGCATAAAAGTTATACAATGTTTTTTTTTTTTTTTTTTTTTTTTTTTTTAATGTACAAGTCTATACCTCCTCCGTTTTTAAATAACTACAATATGTGATATCTATTAGAAGAGATAAAGGAACAAATTAGCTAATAGAATTTGAACATCGCGTGGTAAGATAGACATGTTTTGTTGTTGGTGTTTTAGTTATTTTAGCTTAATTTATCTGTTTACCTTATTTAATTTTCTTTTTCAAAATGCATTTAATAATTAGAATAAGTGCATGGAGTAAATTGGTTCTGCTTGCAAAAAATGGAACTGTATGTACAAAATATAACAAAAAGGGTAAAAATAAAAATAAAAGATGGTAGGAATAGTAAAGATAGATAATGGTCTCCTCCTCAAAAGACAGGAATCTGTCTTAAATTTTCATTTAAATTAGAAAAAAAAAGCTCCCCAAGACTTGTGCTGAAACAACTGAACACACTCAGAAACTGAAAGAGATCAGTTGTTCAGACATCACACACACACAGAGAGAAGAGAGATGAGAGAGAGAAGCTAAGTTTGCATTTCCCAATGTATCCAAAATTTAATTAATTTTGTCAGATGGTTTCCACATTTATTTCTCTCCAACTGCTCATCACTCTTTCATTCACTCACTCGATCTGTGTTTTGTATTTTTTGTTTTTCTGATGAGTAATGTTTATCTGATGAATGAATGTTTTAACTGTTATGTGTATCATAAAATCATAATGTCCTGTAATATAAGTAGACATTTTTTTTTTTAACGGTATGATACGAGGT